TAACTGAGGATCCCAACAACGGCAGGAACGATGGAAAGAAGGCGGAATGCCAGAAAGACGCTTGGGAGGATTCTTGGGATGATCGATGGTTGAGCAAGATTTTGAGGCATCGCGATACGCGACGTAGGTAGGGGGTTCTGGTGCAACGTTCAATCCGTTGGTTCAGAACGAGCGAGAAACGGACTGCTTACAGGTTCATCTTCTGTTTCTGTCTCCGACATAGGCTGCATTGGGCGACGTAACGGAGAATGCCTAAGAGGCAATATGGCTGAGGATACTGTCCACAACCCAGAACTGACGGCGGTAGGGGGGCTGCCGGGAGGGGGAGGATAATGGACCCCTGCACCCCCACTGCCGCGGTCGTCGTCGTACCTCCAATGATTCCTTCTCGACTCCATCACAGCCTGATTTTCGATGTTACCTCAACAGTGGTCGATTTTGAAAGTTGTGCTTGCTAGAGTTTGCTTACGGACCGGGCACCTTCCCGCGCCTCCGTCCATGTTTTCATCTGTCCGCCCACCTCGGCCTTCAGTGAAGCACCTTCTCTGACATACACAAATGGTCAGAAACCGTGCTACCAAGAAAAAGGCGACATGTTACGCGTTTCAAGTTACTGCTCTTCTTACCATCGGGACCCTCACGCTCCTAAAGCAAGCATCAAGTCGGCCCGCCTACTTCCAACAAGCCATCTCTCGATCTCCTTCGCTTTACTCTCAACAATATCTTTCGGGGCATTCGTCTCGCTTAGAATCGGGAGCTTGTCAGTCCATCGAGAGTGCTGTTAGTTGGGATGGCCGTACACTGTTCGTTCACGGACAGCGGATATTCCTATGGAGTGGGGAATTTCATCCATGGCGGTTACCCGTTGTAAAGCTATGGCGTGATATCCTGCAAAAGATAAAGGCAGCTGGGATGAACGCCGTCTCCATTTACGTCCATTGGTAGGCCCCTGGCGACGTGATGGTACAGTTGCAGCTGAAATCACTCAACCATTCACTTACAGGGGCTTGTCGCACCCGTCCCCTGGTCAGTTAGACTTTGGCGGGTACCGCTCTCTTGATACATTTTTGGATATGGCCATGGAAGAAGGCCTATGGGTTGTTCTCCGTCCTGGACCTTATATCAACGCTGAAACCTCTGGTGCACGTATTTCTAGTACGACCTTTGACAAATACTGACTTGGTTCCCCTCATTAACTTAGCCGGAGGGATCCCTCACTGGGTGACGAGCCAATCTCCTTTCCACCTTCGAACCAACAACAGCTTCTACCTCTCAGCATGGTCTCCTTATATAGCCCACATCAACGCAGTAGTTCGAAAATACCAGGTTACTACCAGAGGTGGCGGTCCCATCATTGCCGTCCAAATGGAGAACGAATATGTGGATCGGGACGACGTAGGCTACCCGGGAAAACGCGAAATGATGATCCAACTCAAGGAAGCGATGAAGAGCGGTGGCATCGTCGTCCCTCTAACAATCAACGATGCGTATATGGGGGCCAATTATGTCAGAGGGGACGGTGCTGGAGATATCTACGGGTGAGAATGGGCGAATGCGTTCCGACACCGTGCTCACCCCTCTCCTCAGTTTCGATTCTTATCCCCAAAGCTTTGACTGTAGTCATTCTTCGGTATGGAAACCTGTGGTCCCAACACATCGAACCTTCCACGAGAAGACGAACCCCGATCAACCACTGTACATCCCCGAATTTCAAGGTGGCGCGTATGACCCTTGGGTGAAGCACAAATGCAAACTTTTGTTTCACGTCATCTAACGAATGATTGTAGGGGCCCGATGCTGTAAGGCATGCAGTTGATCTCAAGGCGCGGCTAACCTATCAGCTCCTGGTCGCCTTAGCCAGGTTATGCGTCATGCGCCAACCTTACGGGCGCACACTTCCAATCGGTATTCCACTTGAATCTCTGGGCTGCCAACGCAAAAATGGTCAACATTTACATGCTGTACGTCGCCTTCCATTTAGATTCGACTTGCTGACTGGTTGTGACACTGAAGGTACGGCGGCACGTCTTGGGGACACCTCCCCTTCCCAGGTGTCTATGTGAGTTGCCCTGCTCGTCCACAGGTCTTATGGTTAACCTCCCTGGCGCTTGTTTCTTTCAGACATCGTACGATTACGGTGCAGCGATCACAGAGAACCGTTCGCTGTCACCCGCCAAATATGCGGAACTAAAGCGACAAGGAATGTTCCTCCGAGGTGTCAGAGAATTCCAAGAGACGAACTTTATTCGTGAAGGGGTTATCAAAAGCGACGCTAGTCTTGAAGCGGACGGTACACATGAAACGGGCGTTTTCGCTACCGTGTTGAGAAATCCGGGAGGTGCCGAATTTTGGATCGTTCGACACGAAGATTCGACCTCATCGTAAGTTCCATTATAATTGCACATGTAATATCTGTAACTCAGAGCCCGTTAATCTAGGGACACGACAACCTTCCACCTCAACGTGAACGTGACTTTTATGAACAATGAGATCCGCCAAACCCGCCTCCTCAAAATCCCTCAATACGCAGCCTCGATAACGTTGGCTGGAAGACGAAGTAAAGTGATCACATCAAATTTACTGTTGGACGACACGGTTCCGTCGAACCCACTTCTCGACGCTGGTGCTACCTCGTTTTTAAGTCGTCTTTGGGCGACTGGCAGTCAATGGATCTTCCCAACGCGGATTCTACGATCCCACCGTGCCTCAAAGTCAACGCCGTTACGCAGCGACGAGCCCACAGTTCTGTACTCCACGGCGGAAATCTTCCTCACCGGCTTGTCGGGCGATAATCGCCAGATTATTTTCCTCACTGGAGACTCTGCCGAGGAGCACGAATTTTCCATTCGTCTACGAGGTCGCCCTGTTGAGAGCGCCAACACGGTTCACGATGTCACTGACCATGTACGGATGAAGACATTCCGGTGGGCGGATGACGGGAAAGAAACGCCAGATGGAATCAATGACGCACAAAACGGTTTCACCGTCGTCTCTGTACTACGCGGATTCGATGGTCTGGCAACGATATGGGATAGCGACGAACAGCTCGTTATCTTCGCCGACACTCGGACCGTCGACACGTACTGGGCGCCCACTCTCGAAGACGCGGATGCGAACGGAAGCACCTCCCACCAATGTGGCTTATCAGGCGTCCCGTGTGACGCCCATCAGTACCGCAACTTCTATTCCTTTGGAACAAATACGACCATCCTGGTTGGAGGACCCGACCTCGTCCGCAAGGCCTCCTACTCCAAGGCACGTCACACACTCGACATCTTTGGAGACGTCGACGTTGGTGGGGATGGGGGCGATATCTGGCTTAGCGTCATCGGTGGGCCGAGAGACGTCAAAAGCGTGCGATGGAACGGCCAGGAAGTCGGATTCGCCCAGGGTGGGGCGGTTCGGACGTATGTTCTTCAGTCCAAGAAGAGTGTCGGACGTTTTGGGAGGTTTGATCCGCCTGTGCTTGCGAATTGGAAATATGCCGATTCCCTGCCCGAGATCGGCGTGAGGTATGATGATGCCCTGTGGGTAGATGCCACGAATGAAACGACACATATCCCAACGAAGCCCGTTGTCGGTAAGAAGGTGCTGTACGGGTGTGACTATGGTTTGTAAGTCACCCGGTATTCTCGCCTTCTCTCGTCTAACAGGGTGCATACCGTTGAACAGCTGTGAAGGAATCGTCCTGTGGAGAGGTCATTTTACAGCCACCGGGAATGAAACTGGAGTCCGATTGGTGGTCAATGGCGGTGAAGGTGGGGACGAGTTCCGGTGTCTTTTGGCCGGACATCTTGGAACTGAATCCCTGATTGTAGCATTCGCGGCATCGGTGTACATCAACGACGTGTTCATCCGGACGACGTACGGTAACTCGACAAACAATAGGAATATCATACGCGAGACGGATGAGGTGTATGAGTTTCCTGATGGGTGTTTGGAGGTGGGGAAGGACAATGTCGTGACGGTCGTTCAGGTGCGTGAGTCGCGTCGTTCATGGGGGTCAGTGTTGACCTATTCGTGGCCGTAGGATAATATGGGAATCGAGGAGACGTGGAATAGTTGGGATACGGATGGTTCGCGGTCCCCGAGAGGTATCAGAGGGTACCAGCTTCTTCCAGGTGGGGACTTTGACAGTTGGAAAGTGCAAGGCAAAATTGGCGGATATTGGAAGTAAGTCATCCGTTTGGGGATTGCATGGGTGCTCCATTTTGACCCCCTTCTGACAGCTTCCGGGATAAACAACGTGGTATTTTCAACGAGGGTGGATTGTTTGGGGAGCGACATGGTTGGCACCTCCCGCCCGACGAATTGAGTGCATCCGAATCCGACTTCGAACAAACCCCCTGGGTCAAGAGGGACATCTCGGAAGGTCTGCCCGCACGTGGACGCTACGTCCAACGACGTCAGCACGACGTCAACGATACTTTATCTATTGGAATGCACGGACACGCTGGAGTTGGGTTCTTTCGAACGACGTTCAGCCTCAAGGTGCCCAAAGGGTATGATGTCATGATGTCGTTTGAATTCGTCGATCGAGAGAGCCTTGGGCAACCTTATCGAGCGTTGTTGTTTGTGAATGGGTGGATGATGGGAAAGAGGGTTGGGAATCTAGGGTGAGTTTTCGTTGTTTGGGGGTTCTTGGTCGAGGAGCTGATCGGTAGTTGTAAAGCCCCCAGACAAAGTTCCCCGTGCATGAAGGGATTTTAAATTACGATGGTGAAAAGTATGTCTTGGAGTGCCTATTTTGATTATTTGGGTTGCTGACAGGGGTGTTTGGCAGTGCCGTTGTCGTTGCGCTTTGGGCGATGGATGCTGAGGTTCCCATTCGGACGTCGGTGCGTTTGGTTACGGACCGAGTGTTCGATGGCAGTCTGTCCTATACTACCAGAGGCATCACTACGTAGCTAAAACGGAGCAAGTGGATATATGCTGTTGATTACCCGCATATAAGGCGCACTCCGAAAAAGAAACACTCGGGACAAAAAAGATTTTGCAGATGATCGCACCGTGAATCGAACACGGGTCTTCTCGGAGCTATTCAGGTAGCCACAACGAGATGCTCTAACCACTAAGCGATGCAATCCGGGAATCCGAGTCCCGCATCGCACGCCCAAGTCCGATTTCTTTCCATTCTCCCTCTTTTCTACCCGAGCCCACCGCGGGCCGTATTACCTTCCTCCACGGGGGCGGGGTTGATCAACATGTCTTTACCCCGGTGATGATGATGGGAGGGGCGAGTTTGTTCTTCCAGTGCCTTGAGCTTGGCGGCTATTCGTGTGCTCGTCCGAACGTCCGAGGGTGGGGGTGGAGGAGGTTGAGCCTTGGTGTTACCTTACTGTCTGTAATTGTGCCTGCACAGTGGGCAGCGTGAAAACAGAGTCACCAAGTCCCCGTGCTGAAGGCAACAACATGCTGCCCTTTGACTCCTCGACATCGCTCGCAGCTTCGAGAGCGCTCTAGGCAGTATCACCGCGTAATAACAACACGGGGATCCCAATCCGACAACACGCCTCGGTCTTTCAGGTAAACACGCTCCGTGCAGCCTAGTGATCCACGGCCGTTCTCCTCCAACGTCCATCGAAACGACGGACAAACCTCCCCTCCCACATCCACAACCCAATCACATTACCCAACACACCCACCTGACCGAAACTCTAATCCCCACCTCACTCGGGCTGTCCGCAGAGAAGAGAGAAAAGGAGGCATGTCCAATAGTACTTCCCCGAGCGCTAGGGGAGTTGAGGTACACCCGTGCATTCTCTCCGTAACGCGACTGAAGTTTCCTCACGACTGGTAAGCTACTGCTGCTTTTTGGAGGAGCTGCGAGCGATTGCGGGAGGGCGAGCGGGTGGGGTTTTGCCGTACGTTTTTGTAGCTTGGTATGGGAAGAGAATGCAAGATGTGTGTGTGCTCACACGACGTTCCTTGGTTGAAGCACATTGTTCGTCGGGTGGAGGTGGGCGGGTGACCTTCGGGTTGCGGAACGGGGTGGTCGTATTCGGACGACTCTAAAGGGTATCTCGAGCCGTCAGACTTTGTCGCGGACAAGTCAACGTGCGTGTGTCGAGTGTAATGTAACGTAAGGCAGTCGTCAAGTCTCTGTTGCTCTAACACACGAGTAGGAGGTAGCGATGGAGATATCATTGGGGCAGTAGCCGTCTTCATACGTATAGTAGTGGTACTAGTAGCATCGACGGAATCCAGAGACAGATATCATGCAAACAATCATCAATCTCATCAAAATATACTTCAGAGACGATAGAGTGACAGAGAGCAGAACGGAGACAGAGAAACAGAGAGACGGAAACAGAGAGACGGAAACAGAAAGAAGACGGAAACAGCGGGGATACGACGATACGATACATCATGACACTGCACAGGAAATATGAGAAGACCAGAAAACAAAAAATAGATGGAAATCAAGTGTTTTGAAAACGTGCGGTGGGTAGGGGGTTTTGAGGGGTGGTGAGTAGCGCAGGACGATGACGGTAAAGTGTAAGCGAAAATAGACAAAAAACGAAGAAAAAAGACGGCACTGCGCTGACAGCAGTAGCGGGGTAGTAGTAGCGCCTCATAGGAAATCTACTGTTGTTCCAAATACCCATAGTTCACCCTCCCATAGTACAGCGAATCGGCCTCCAATCCATCAAACTGCCCGGAGAACTGATACTGCGTCTGGTCTGTGTACGATGGGTATAGTGACGACGCCGCGGAAGAGGAATTCGTCGTCGACGTAGTGGTGGCTTGCGCAATTTGGGACTTCTGTCGTGCAGGTGGTGGAGGGATGTTGTACCCGCCTGTAGCGGTGGTAGGGTTGGAAAAGTAGGACTGGGAGACGGAGGAGGATGTGGTGGAGGGACCTTGAGCGTGGGTGTGCGACGGGGAGGGGGTGGCGCTGTAGCCAATGTAGTTGGCAGCATTGGACCAAGTCCCGTCGATAGAAGCTCCGTTCGAATCGTCGATCGCTCCCGTAGCCAGTTCACCGGGCGACAACGTGCCAGTGACCATCATATCCACAGGCATATTCAGGTCATCCTGGAAGCCAAGCCCAAGATTACTCGAATCCATGCCAAAGTTCATATCCATCATCCCCTGGTAGCCGTAGCCAGCGACATCACCGGACACGTCGCGCTGCTCAGATTTGATGTTGAGCATCTTGCCCGTGAGCAGGCCAGGGTCGGGGCGACCGGAGGATGGTAGGGTCATGACACCCGCCGAGGAGCGTCGAGAAGAAGCAGAGGTGAGCGAGGGAGTGACGGCTTCGGACGAACTGACAAGCGTGGAGCCTCCACTGCCACTTCCACCTTCGCTATTTCGGCTGCCGCTCCTCCTGTTCTCGCTGCTGATGCTCACCTCGTCCATGCGGCCGTTGGCACTGCTAATGCTCATGCTAGCCGAACGAACAGAAGGTGCAGATGCGATGGACATGGAGCCGCGGTGCGAAGGGGCGAGGCACGATGGGTAGGTGGACGTAGCGAAAGCACTGTTGGCAGCTGCGCTCGGCTGGGAGGGATTGTACAACTGTGGGGCTTGGAAAGGAGGAGCACCCGTAGAGTTGTCAGAGAGGTAAGCCGTGTTGTAGTAATCGGTCGAGCGGGAGTAGCTATGGTGGTGCGAGTGGGAGTTGCTGGCACTCGAACTGGCGCTCGAGACGGAGAAAGGGGTGGCGGGAGAAGTGTAGGTGGTAGGACTCATGGTCGTCACCCCGTTGTTAGAAACACCCGTAAAGTTATTGTAGAGACCGCCAGTAGAGAGGGCAGATGGGTAATGGAGACCCAAACTGGAGGCGGCGCTTCCAACAGGGACACTAGAGGTACCGGTACCGCCGTTTGATGAAGGTTGGTAGAAAGCACTCCCACTGCCGTTCATCTGGAAGGCATCGCCACTCATGGAAGCCTGCCTCGAGTGGGAGCCGTCGCGGGAGGAGGTGCCTGAGGCGCTCGAGGAGGCAGCCACCGCGGCAGCAGTGGCGGCACCGTTCAGGTACATCCTCCTGCTCGTTTCCGCTTGGGCCTGGGCAGCTGCGTAGAGCGGGTTGGAAGGTCCTCCGTTTCCGACATTGTTGCCGTTGACGCTGTGGGAGGAGTGATTGGAGACTGGAGTGGGGGGACCATTGAGGTAGTCGCTCTGGGACGAGTGGGAGATTGAATTATGCCTGGAATGATGGCCGTGGGATTGGGAGGAATGTCCGTAATGTGATGAATAGACGGAAGCTGTAGAGGCGGAAGACGAGGGGTGATGCGAGACGCTCGAGCGGTGGTATGGGTGGGAGTGGAAGGAGTGTCCGTGGGAGGAGGGATTGGCCTGGGTGGATGAGGAGGCCGCGGAGGGAGTAGACGGGGGAGGGTTGTTGAGGTGGACGGGGGCGGTGGAGGGGAGGTCCGGGGGCGTTTCTGGAGCGGGGGAGTCGGGCTCGTCGACCGTCTCTCCTCTGGGTGGTGAAGATCGTCGTATTCATCGATATCGGGGGACCATCAAAATGAGAAGAAGGGAAAGGGTGGGTCAGTGAATACCTCACAGTCATCGGAAGGAGGGCTTGCAAGCAGATTAAACACTCACCGAAATCGCACACGACCGTCCTCGCCGAGCTCTACTCGGGGTTGGACACGAAAGTGGGTCTTGTCGAGAAACTCGGGGCTGATCTCGAGGGCGGCGAATTCGGGGAGTGATGAAGGGGTGCGGAGGCGACCAGCTTCAACATCGGAGACCTTGTAGTAGGATACGAGATGGTGTGTCTTGCCCGAGCCTTGGAGGGTGAGAGAAAACGTCTAGGGGAGGGAGGTGAGTGGGTGGGATAGAGTGAGAGGGGATGACTCGCCTTCTTCATCATGCCGTCCTCCTTGAACTTTTGGCTATTGGTAAGACTACCGAGGAGAATGCGCTCTCTGGCGCGATCTAAACCGTTGGAACCGGGTGCAGAGTAGCCGTCCTCGCCAGTCTTGGGGCGGGAGAGAGAGCCTGTTGACCATCGTGATGCGTTGGCATCGTTGGGTTGGATGGCGGATGATGATGGTTCTTCGGTGACGAGGAGAGAGTGGCCATTGGAGGGATGAGAAGAGCGACCTGGGCGGGTAGCGGGAGTGCCATCGGGGTTGCGCTTGTCTGTTTCACGGTAGAGCTGTGGAGGGGATGAGTGTGGGGGGGGTGTGAGCGGTGTGGACGGACTGACCAGGAAATTGCCCAGGATGCGAGAGGGAGACCAGAGGAAACCGTCGGTCCATCTGGAAAGAGGGCGTCAGTGATGTGCAGCGAGTGAAAGCCAGGTGGGGCTCATGTGAGGCGAGATCGGAGAGCGGTCGGGAATGGAATCGGGCATACCTCTTGATACCGCTCTCTTCCTCCTCAAAGACAAACACGCTCCCACTCTGGATTAGTCGGCGCTCACGGTCTGCGAGTCGGCGGGTGACACGGGGGATGAGGCGGCGGCGGGCGGCTTCGAGGATGAGGAGGGCGTCTTCGGTGGTCTCGAGAAAGCCGATCCAGGGGGGTTCTGTCCATGCAGCGTCTGGGGGCTGGTCTTGTTGGTCTGACATGTCTGGGATAGTAGCAGTGGAGTCTTGACGTCTTCGGGGAGCAGATGATCTTGAAGGGGTGGGTTGAGCTGAGGGGACGGGAGTTGAAGTAGTAGCGTTGGAGGACGCCTTGAGCTTGCGGGCAGCAGGCATCTCGGGGGAGAGGGTTAGAGGGAGCAAGGTTTGCGACGCACAAGGTTGGGTGACAATTGACGTCCGAGTTATATAAGTAACCAAGCACCCTTACCCTTTCTGGACGCTCGTTTTCCGGATCACCGATTCTTCCTAGCCTCATGTCAATCGATCCCACTCCCACTCCCACAATTTCACTCTTCCTAACCAGGAATCTCGCACCCACTCGCAAAGTAGCCGGTGTGACACGTAACAGGGGAAAACAAGGCCTGTGAGGCCTGTGGGGATCCCACCCGTATGGCAACCCCCGTGACAATTCCTCCAGCGAACTCCCCAAACACGGCAATTCTCCTTTCTACTCTGAGCCTAGATGCCACCGCAGTGGTCTCGATCTCCGCTTCAATCCTGTCCAGGTCCAACTTTGCTGATCCCGCCACTC